TATTATTATCATCATCATCATTATTATCATTATTATCACCATCATCATTATGATTGTTATTATTATCATTATCATTATGATCATAATTATTATTACTATTATTATCTTATTGTCATCATTATTATCATTGTATTACTATCATTATTATTATTGCTGTTATTATTATTATTATTATTATTATTATTATTATTATTATTATTATTATTTATTATTATTATTATTATTATTATTGATACTGTCATTATCATCAGTATCATTATTGTTATTGTTATTTTCATTATTATCATTATCATTAATATTATCATAATGATTATTATCATTACTATTAATATCATTATCATTATTGTCATTATTATTATCATTATTAATATCATCATCATTATTATAATTATCATTATCATTATCATCAAGATTATTATCATCATTATCATTATTAGTATTATCATTATTATCATCATTACTGTCATTCATTATCATTATTGTTAGTTATCATTATCATTTTCATCATTACCAATATCATCATCATCGTTCCACACATCCCTTCTAGTTCCCATTACTTTGGTTATTAGTATCATTATGAGTATTGTTATCATCATTATCATTATCATCGTTATTATTAGTAGTATGATTATCATTATCATCATTATTATTAGTAGTATGATTATCATTATCATCATTAATATCACCATCATTATCATTAATGTTACTATTATTGTCACCATTGTTATTATTATTATCATGGTTGTTATTCTTGTTCCGATTATTATAATCCTTATCATATTTACTATTATCATTATCATTATTATTATCATTGTTAACATTATCATTACTGTTATGATTATTATCATTATCATTATTACCATCATTATTGTTATCATTATCACGATCATTGTTATCCTTATCATCACCATCATCATTATTATCATTATTACTATACTCATCATCATCATTATTATCATTATTAGTATCATTATCACCATCATCATTATCACTGTTATCATCATTAGTTTATTGTTATCATTATGATAATAACAATTATAATCATGATAATTATTACCATCATTATTATCATTATCATTGTTATTCCCATTATTATTATCATAATTATCGTTACTATTATCACTGCTATTTTTGTAAGTATTGTTATCATAGTTATTATCATCGTTATCATTATTGCTATTATTGATTTCATTATCATTATAATTTTAATTATTATTATTACTATCATTATAATCACTATTGTCATTATAACCATCATTATGATGATCATTGTTATCACCTTCATTACTAATATAATCATTCTCATCATTGTCACTACCATAATGATAACCATCATCATCATTATGAATATCATTATATCATTGTTATAAGTATTATTGTCGCTATGATTACCTTTATTATTATTGTTATCATTATTGTCATCATTTTCATCATCATTACTATTATTATCATTATTACAATTTATCATTATCAGTATAATTACTGTAATCATCATCATCGTCGTCATATATATTAATGTTATTACTATTATCATTGTCTTTATTATCAATATTATCATCACTGTAATCATAACTATTATTACCATCATCAATATCATCATTATTTCTTTATTAGCATTATCAATATTATTATCATTATCCTTGTTGTTATTATAGTTATTGTTATTACTACTAGTAATATCATTATCATTGTTATTATCATAGTTATCATCATCATCCTAATTATGATCATTGTCAACAATATCATCATTATGATTATCATTTTATTATCATCACCTTCATCATAATCAGTATTATCATTGGTGCTGTTATTATATTTTGTTGTTCTTATTATCATTATCCTCCTTATCATCATCATCATTATTATTACCATTATTGTTGTTGTTACTATTATCATAATATTTTTTATCATTATCATTATTGATACTATTATCATTATTATTATAATTATCATCATCATTATTATTATCATCATCATCATTAGTAGTAGTATCATTATAATTTTCAGCATTATGACTATTACTATTACTATTAACACTTATAATCGGTGTTCTTACATTTATCTTTTATCATAATTATCATTTCACTATGATTTTTTATCACAATCATTATCATTGCCATAATTATTATCTTTATTATCATTATTAGCAATATTTAATACTTGTAGCATTGTTATTATCACCACATACCACAATTATGAATTTTGTCTTCCGGATCATTCCCATCATCACTGCCATCCTCCTCCTAATCCTCCTCATGGGATCATCATCTTATATTCTTATTGTTATGATCATATGCAATGCAATGACGGATCCAAGGAGGGGGTTGCTCGTAAACAGGTTTATTACATTACACATTCTATACGAATTATTATACGAATTATATACGAATTGTTCAGAGACTGGATTAAGATGGTACTGTGACCTATCTTTCATGAAATGCGTTCAGGGCGGTGTTAATTCCATTATTATCATCACGTGATCACTGACGGTATATTATTGTATTCGGTATATATAATATGTAGTGCAATCTCTGTATGTTATGATGTATACTGTATGGGTATTCGTAGAACATGAGGAAATGCCTCCATGCGTCCTTCATTCAATAAACCCTTTGCTAAGCAAACCAAGCCAGAAATACTTCTCTCCTACGTTAGGCAGATCCCTCGTTCACCTTATTTTAAACGGGTTATCTAAAGGCAGTTGAACACCAACCCTCAAACATACCTTGGTGCGCTACAATAACAAAGCCTAAAAGACCACTCACGCCTGCCTGACCACTACCTAACGTCACGATTCTCCTATTAATACAGATTTCGTGATAAAGTGGAAGACCCACAACATCATGTTTGCCCAACATTCTCTCTGTCACCACTTGCCATGACGCATTTACAAAGCAGGGAATCTTTTTCTATCTCACACCGGCTTCAGATTAGATATTTTAACATCCAAACAACGGAAAAAATAGAAGCATGTGTACAATGCCAAGGAAGAGTTAGTTTATGCATAAATGATTTAAGAGAACATGCATGGAATATTTTAACTACATATGGAAAACGAAAATAGACAAACTTTCTATTGGAAAGCGAGGTAACAATGAGAATATGATAAGACTATCCAAACAACAATTTTTGCTGATAATAAAACGCACGACCATAATAAAACATGAAAAGAACATATAGAAAATGTTTTGGGTGATCGGGCTAAAGTTTAAACTGCACAAATGTTATGATTTGGAGTGAATGAAACGGCAGCTCTTTTGTGATACGAAGTTCGCTAACAGGTTTACTCATTGACTATTGTCACAGACAGGTTTATTAATTATAGATCTTGTTTCAGCTCAGAATCCGAATAGAAAGGGACTAGTAAAATACAAAATTATTATTTCGTTCGAGCCGCTACAGGGAAAAATATATATAAATACAACCTTTACAAACAAAGGGAAGTATGAGTCATAAGGATATAAAAAAGGATGGAAATAAGAGGCTTTATTTCCCCTGACAAAAATCTGTCTTACGACACTTTAAAGTGAAAAAATTCATTCGCGCCACTTCCTCGGGCCTGTCGCGACTAAACGGAAATTCGTTTGCTAAACGGAAACAAAAGACGACCGACGGATGGTGACGTCACTTGTTTTTTTTCGGAAATTTCATTAGATACCACGTCAGCTGAGTCTTGTAGCTAGGCATTACCAAAGGTAGAGGCACAGTCCAATTTAATGACTTTAAACATTCAGCCCTACAATACACTCACTATAAATATCCATGAACTTTTTAGATAAATCAAGTTTACAGGTTCAATGTTGCATTTTCTTGTTATACATCGAAGACATTTTCTGTAAAGAGATTCGAGTGCACTTTATGTTGTTGAATGTTACAATTTACAATTTATTTATCGTATATTGTTTTATGCAAGCAATAAACAAGAAAGTAACGCAGGGAATCTTAAAAACACCAGACTGATCCTACGAAATGTGCCAAAGGTGCGACTCCTCCCCCATTTCTGGGAATCGTACTCGAGTTGACGAATCTGATTTTGTTATTGAATTGTATTTATTTGAAATCAGTATTTTCCTTGTGTAACATTACAGGAAATAACAATAAATACAAGTTGTTAGTTATAACGACGGAAAATTATCAAAATCAGTTGAAAATGAGCGGACCCTAAACGCCTCCCATCATATTTTTACCCTCGTCTAACGACGCTGGTTACGAAAGTCACACTTTTTTTTTTTTTAAATATTTTGATGCTAATATTTATTAATTAATATTGACCATTTAAAAAGGTATATAAGTTAATGCCTGCATATTCAATTATATGTACATAACAAATAAAATAATTGTGTAGATCTTAATATAAATTTGAGTGATATTCTTTTAACTATTCGTCATGGAACACTTTTATAGGCCTGATCATCGCTTAGTCGTGCCACTGTTAATATGAAAGCATATTAATATTGAATCTTAAACTTTATATTGTTATCTATGATAGTAGTGTATTTTTTCAATATTATAGTTCTATTGCTAGAGCAGAACGATCTTGTAAAAATGTTCATGTATCCCCATATTGAAAACAGTGAGAGATATTTCTTAGTCATATCTTAGTCATACACGTAGAATTTTGTTTTATTACATTACATATTCCCATAACAAATGGGAAGTGAAAAGGAAACATATACACGCATATATATACATATATATATATATATATATATATAATATATATATATATATATAATTATATATATTACATATATATATATATATATTGTATATATATATATATATATATATATATATATATATATATATATATATATATATATAGTACTTATCATCGTTGTTACAAATAATGCACCATACAGTGTAGCATCAAATTTGAACTTTCCTTTTTCTTTGTTTCAAAACAGAGGGAGGTGAAGCGCTTCGCTCGCTCGCCAGCCAACAGGTGCAGAAATGGGAAAGTGTAGCGATAGCGTTGTCGGTGAAAATAAGGTTCAAGATTAAAACGATTACACAAATCTTTATTTCAAAATACAATCAACAAATATATATATAATTAAATAAACTATAATCTATAACTAATCAGTTCAAGAAAACACAACATATAATACATGTCAGGTTGAATGGAAAGCACTCTAACGTGTTGATACTGTTAGAAAAACCCACAATACAAAAACTAGATTTAGTGAGATAAGACCTCTCACTTCAATAAATCTAGTTTGTGCAATGCGGGTTTTTCTACCACATGTCAGGTTATAAAGCACCTCTCTTGCCCACACGCTAAATTTCGCTAATTCGCAATAATTTAATTTATTCGATATCCACAGTGCTATATAATTACACTATGCTGCCTCATGATATTAAACAGAATTTTAGTAAATCTATTTTATACATGTTCCCTTATATTCTGTGCATGATTTCTAACAGTTGCATTAAAACGGAATAACAGCAACAACAAAATTTTGTATAGGTGTTCAGCAATTGCTTTTCTATGGTACAAAACAATTCAGTGGTGCTGCGACAGCCATGGGAGTACCGGATATGAGATGTTTAGCTGATTTCGCACTACCATTCTTTCTCTAACGCCCAAACAACCTCCCTCCAAATTCCTCCGGCTCTCGAGGCGATAAGTTTAAAGCCCGCACACCTCATCAGGTGCAGGTACGGCCAGAACACTTGGTGTGATGTGATCTGAGCTACGTTTTTTTCTGGAAGAAAGGAAATTATTATGAAATTGCATATAGATTTCACTTTGGTTTAAGATCTTACAAAGTACTCTCTCTCGATCTATCTACACACACGCACAGAAACAAACACATATATGTGTATGTGTTGAGGGTGGGGGATGGGGGGTTCGAGGGAGGTCGTGTAATTCTCTAAACGGGAAAGGAATGCAAGAGAAAGCATATGACAGACAGGCATAACTCGAGCCCATTTGCGCGTCTTGAGCCCTATACGTGTAATCAGTCTGCCATGACATACCATACCTTCACATCACCATGGGTGCCTCCACATGTGGTAATCACTACAAAACACTGGCAGCAAAGTTCACAGCACAGATTTGTGAAGGCTAGCTACCCCGGACTTCATTCTTTGGCTGTACCTGTTTCAGTTTTGTGGATCCTAATATCAATGTATATCAAGGAAGCTTGATTGCCTAGAGGCTTTTAAGCTTCCATGAAACAACCACCAGGTTTCTAAGTCTCATCAACAGTTGTTGGTAGTTCTCATGTGAGGAAATGCTTCTGTCACAGAAAATAGGGGGCTATGGTATACCATGCTCATTGGAAATATAATACTGCCTTGTAAAGAATTACTTCAGTATCTCTTGATATTGATACGCAGTGGTTTATGTCCTGTTATGTAACACTTGGACGAAGGAGAAGGTCTCGCTTCCTCTTTGTGAGCTAAACCAGCCTGTCTTGCAGCCGTTGCTCCGTCTTAAGAGCTCTTGACTTAGATTTAATGACCAGCTCACTCAAGAACTCTTATCAGTCTGCTGATTATAAGCAAGCTCATTTTCTCACATGCGTGTGACTCGGGACATAGTAGCACTTCTACCACTAACAAGAATCCTCTATTCTGTAGTATAGTGGTCAGTAGGTAGGTAATGGCACTGGACATGTTTGGCTGCAGGGTGTCAGTGACCACTGGAATCGGTATGCATGACATCCCCCCCCCCCCCCGCTAAGGTGGCGACAGCCTCTGTTTGTAGTGATGTGGCATTATCTATTACACAATTGGAAGTCTCTTTTTGCAAAGCCAGCGTCGGCAAGCAGATGAAATAATAACCAGGATATTGTTTGCTTCAATTCATTAATTGTTGATAGCGTGTTAGGCAAGAGTTATTTGCAGACAGCTCACATTCGTTCACTTCTCACCCCCACCTAAGGCGTGTCCTTAAGTGTCTGAATGTTTTGCAGTGGCTACATCTCTCAAGGTAAGGCAATTTACCTCTACATGTAGAGTGAAACGTTTAATTTACCTGGCTTAGCAGAAGCCTGTCCCTGCGATTGGATGTGACAATAATCAGAGCATCAAAAGCATAATTCATGATGGGATGGATTGCATGTATACAAGCACATCTCGGGACTGTATGTCTAGCTCCTGTCCTTGCCAACGTTTTCATAACAATGTTAATCCTTGTATTGTACCTCCTTTTGGGAAGTGATCCAGGCCTTTGATTTCATCCTAGCACTCTAGACTTAGGTCCAGACAAAGTACTGGAGGTGACTCTATGAGTAATGAACAGTGTATTACATCTCTTTATCAGTCGAAAGTTGAGGATAGTCATCTGCGTAATAAGTAGAGCCGGACTGAGGACCTTAACTGAAAAATCTAATTTCTAATCGGTTGGTATTCTGAGTGATGACCTTTGAACATGAAGGGTATTTTTTACAACAGCTCGTTTAGGAGCTTGCCTTCGATTCCCTTACTTGATATGGTTTATAAAATAGTGAGAGGATCTTTTCTAATTCCATAAAACAACCACAGAGGCGA